AGTATGCTATGCCGCAGAGACCCTATACAATTTGTCCCCATATAGTAGTTTACTGAACAAGTGGTAGCTTCAACTCGCTGTCACTGTGGTATGACGCTCATATGAGAACTTGTAACACGTTTACAAAACCTCGTCGGGCGCTTGAAAGTTCTATCAAGCTTAGCACACACCATACCCGTGTAAGACTTTCAAACGACAGAAATGTAGCAACAACACTAAACTTTGTCAAACACTATAGATCCATAGATCCCTCTAGACCCCTTACCCTAAGGGTCCAAGTAGTCCTTATTTTTTGCTTTTTGTACCTAAAACGGCCCGAAAGTCCTATAATTTTGAGTACTTGGACCCTTAGGGTTATAAACCATGATTATAGATCGTTTCTAAGCCCCTTTAGATGCTGTGTCAACCCACGCCCAGCTCTGAGGCGCGGTTCCGCATTGGAGAGAAGCTCAAGGAGGTCGCTAGCGACATGTTCGGCTGGGGCTTTGTGTGGTGGTTGAAGAGGGCTTTCGCAGGTTGTGTCACCCTAAGGGTCCAAGTAGTCCTTATTTATGGTTTCTTGAAAACATGGGGGTTTCCGTAAAGGGATCCATAAAGGTTCTCTAAAGGGTTCAGGGTTCAGAGTTTCCGAAAATTTGGGGTACCTTATTTGGTGGTCCTCATAATAAGGATGCTACTACTTAGGGTGCTATATTAGAGTCCCCTGTTTTCAGAGACTCCCAGGTTGTGTCAGGTTTAAAAACGGTTTTATAAGGTTTTGAAAGGGCTCTGTGTGATGATTCATGCGGTTTTAAGCTGCTTCATTGGGCTTGCAAAGGCTTCATCTGGGTTTTAAAACGGTTATAAGAGGCTTTCCAGCATGCTGCCTTGCTGCAGTGCAGATCCCTGGCCAATTAGCTTTCTTGGAGGGTGTAGGGTTTGTGGTTTTACAGGGTTGTCAAACGGGTGTCTAAGGCTTACAATTAGGTGGTTATAAGTGGTTGATGGTGGAGGTTGGGGCTTGCAGGATTGCAAAGTTCAGGGTTTTTGGTGCTGCAACTCCTCATTCAGGGTTTAGCACGGTTGTATGGGTGCGTATGTATGTATGTATATATATCTATATACATACATACATACATACATACACACATACATATGCATTGGGCCATTTCTCCTAAAACTCTGTTTAAGCTGTATACTACGCATATACGTGGATAGAGAGGTGCCTCAAAGTGGTGAACCGCTGTCTACCTGTAGATCGCTTTTTTGGGGTGATCGCCGGTTAGGATCCGAAAAACAGGGGTACACGGGTGTTTCATTCAACGCTCTGGGTAAGCCCCAACCTTGATGGACTGCATAGGCTGGTCGACCCCAGAACCCCGCCACTGCTAAGCAGCAGCAGTAGTGGTAGAAGAAGACGAAGGAATCCGTCATAGTACTAATGATTTCGCAAACAAACGGGCTTGCGTACTCCACGTAATTGGGAAACGCAGAAGCCCAACACTCACAAAACCTAAACTTCGAATAGTCGAGAGCGAAGGTCCTTGGCCTGGACATGAACGCCCTCATCCAGTATAAGGATCACATGCAAAGCTTGCAGGTCCAACGGACATGTGCTGCTGCTGTTGTGAGAAGCACACTCCCAAAGGGTCCAAGTATCATTCTGGTATATACTTCTAGGGCATTTTGGGGGTCTAAGTATATACCATGATGTACTTGGACCCTTTGGGACTAGCCCCAAACCCGAGACCTTCTAAGGGTGCTTTGCTTTGCGGTCGTTCTGTCGTGGGGCCGAGCAGTAGTCGCTTTACAGTTAGAACGGAGGGTCTAGTGTTTGAGGTTTACGTTTTAGGGTTTAGCTTTTGCTGGGTGGCTCGGGGTGTCAGCGTTATGCTGGATAGCCTTCGGGCACAGGGATTTTGCGTTTCGTCGTGTTTTTCGTACTTGACCCAGGTCCTATAAAGGGACTGGGAGCTGGGCTGTGCTGTTAAGCGGTTTGCAAATATGGGTCTAGGGGGTCAAATCTGTTTCGGTCGGAGTGGAAGTGTTTTTTAAAGCTTGTTAAGCCACGATCTACATCGGTGCTTCTTGTTGTTGCCATACCCTCCTTCTGATGTTAAGCGGTACTCCTGTTTGCGTTGCTTTCGGAATATGTGCTACTCTGTTCATTCAACTTCCTCGTTTGATGTTCTTAAAGGCTTATGATTTAGAGTTTTTAGTCTTACATATTCCGGATTCGCACCTTGATTTGGTTTATACGATGTGCAAGCTTATAAGGAAGGTATAAGGTACAAACATAATTCCTAGTATTCCTGCTGCTGCTGCTGCTGCTGCTGCTGCTGCTGCTGCTGCTAACTCATAACCGTGCCCCCTAAACCCTGAACCCTAAATCCTAAACCCCAACTATATCTTTTCAGGGCCTAATGCTTTGATGCACGATCCTATGGTTTGTCAGCCTGAAACCCTAAAAGCGGAGCTTGAATCATTAGTGAAGAGGGTTCACCCTACACCCTACACCCTACACTAAGCTTATGTATAGTATGTAAGCTTCGACGCCTCAGTCTCATTATTCAGGCTCTTGTTGTACTCTGCCACGGCCGCGGAGGTAGTACAAAACGTTCTGTTTAAAATTTCCCGCATTTTGAAAAACCGCAGGTTCACCAAACCCTAAACCTTAAACCTGACCCGGGCTAGACGGCCACGGAGGTAGTAATTATACATTGTCTGATTAGATATCACAAATCCGAATGTTTAAGATCGTCACCGTGGCATTTTGTGCAGCTTCGGAAGTGTTTGGGGTCTGCTTGACTGATTTCGGGATCCTTTCTGCCTGTTGCCCATTCAGAACTTGCCCAGAGTCTCCATTGCAGTTCCTTTTCTTGGTTTGACAAGTTTTGTATTCAGGACCCTATAAAGTAGCCCAAACAAAAAAAACTAGAATCGTGACTATAGGTGGTCAGGATCCTGTAAGGTACCCCCAAAAAGGAACTACAATGGTGACAATAGGTAGTCACGTCTTGATCCGATACGAAGCTTTTTGGGTCTGCTGGCGCTCTGTGGACCTTCTCCGTGGCTTGCTTATTGGGAAGGGCGAGGGTTTCGGGTGTTTAGGGTTTAGGATTCAGGGTTCAGTGTTTAAAGATCTCGGCTCAGGGTTAGAAGGACTAGGGTTTAGGGGTTTAGGATTTAGGGGTTTAGGGGTTTAGGGGTTGAGGATTTTGGGTGTAGGGGTTCAGGGTTTAAATGTTTAGGGGTTTAGGGATTAGGGTTCAGGGTTTAGTAACAGTATTCAGATTAGAGTTCATGATGCGTAGGGTTTAGATTTTGGGGCTGTGGAGGCTAGGTGTTGGGAAAAGGTTTCTGCAGATTTCACGGTTTGCGGCGCTGTGCTAGCTGCCAGGCCCTAGCCAAGTGATGCAAATTCTCTTGGATGCAAGCGACATTGACGAGTTGAGCTTAGGGCAATGGTCGGTATCTGAAATGTCAAGTGTTCACATCAAGTGCCTAAGTTGAGTTTGGTTGTACCTGAGAAGCAGAATGAAGTCTACTTATCCAAAATCCCAGGGGCGACGAGGACTTAGAATCCCAAAGCCAGTCCTAGTGGCACGAGATCGGCCCTGACGGCGACACATCCCGGTGCCAGCCCGAGACGATGGCGAGATGATAGGATTCACTCGAAGTTTTCGGTATACATGACCGGTTGAACGTATCACTGGCCCTAGGTTTTAGGATATAGACCCTGCCCTTAACCCTGAAGAACCTACCGTTTTAAGGACTTATATAAGGAAATCATAATCGGGAACCCTAAAAAGGTAGGTTATTCAGGGCAAAGGTAAACCCCAAACCCTTCCAAACCCTAAGCCCTAATCCTGAACCCTAAACCCCTAAACCCTAAACCCTAAACCCCCAACCCCTGAACCCGAAACCCACCAAAAGCCCTTAAGGTGAGCCCTAAACCTATGCAATCGGACTCGGTGGATACTAAACGTTAGCGCTCCGGACCCTGGGAGAGATTTTAGTTTAGGGTTTAGGGTTTAGGGTTAATTTGGCTCGACAACCGTGCTATAGCTCTGCAGTAGTTACTTAGAGGTACTTAGAAATAATGTTCAATTTTTTGGTTATTAGAAACCCTAAGAGACAGCTGAAATTACAATTTGTGCTTGGGTTCTAAGTTCAGTATAGCTAGTATCCGTACAACCGAATATACCCCCAGACCATACCCCAACTATGCAGGCTCCAAAGACGACTGACCCTGATTGTACTCTTGTCCCTCCATGTTGCTGTGCCGTGGCGCCTGTAATGTTCTTCCTGTCACGACCTAGAGTTGTCGATGTGTGGCAGATGCGACGTGTTTTCTGCCGTGGCTCAATAGCAGACGAACCCCGTCTAGTACAACTCCTTGGCTGCAACACACAATCCCTAAAACCCTAAACCCTAAACCGGTCCCAGCGAATTTTAGGGAAGTGGGACCCCGGACCAGACCATGTATGCTAAATGCTCAACCCCAAAGCCCTAATTTACAGCCTGATATACACACTATAACCACGATAACAAGTAGCACCTTTTGTCGGAACTTCAGGAGGTGCGCGCCGCAAAGCGGAGGGGCGAAATTTAGGCTCTCAACAGGTTATGAATCCTGAAGGCTTGGTGCTTTCAGCTAGAGCGCGAAGGTTTGCGTGTATGACTGCGTGTTATCGCTTGTAGTTTTCTGCAAGCTGCCATAAACGAGAGCCTTAACCACCTGGTCGTCGTGAGGCGCCCTAGTTTTTTTCGGACCAAACCTCTTAATCAGAAACCTGAAACCCTAGTACTAAACCCTTAGGAACAAGTGCAAAGACCCTGAGCTGATAGAGCACTTTACCAAGATGGTCCTCGTAGTAGAGTAGGTAACCTTTAACCTTTATTGGATAGTATAGTCCCTATATAATCCCTATGTACCCCAAAAAGATTAACCTGTAATTCCCCATGATACCCGACAAGTAGGTGGTCGTGCTTTGATTGCAGTAGCTGCCCTCGTTGACATGCCGCCTCAGCTGCCACTGGCCATTCACCTGAGTACGACTGAGTCGGTGCTGAAACACAAGTATAGGATGCTGTCTTGGCTTGTGTGGTGGATTTTGGTTTCTGAGATTTTAAGTGGCTTTGGTATCTTGGTATTGCCGTTCCTGATGAACGAGTACATCTATGTGGCAGGCCTTGTGCTGCTTGTACTGATGAAGCTGCTTCGGAGAGTACCTTTGCTCTCCTTACTTCAGAAGCCTGCCATGCTTGCGACCAGCACCCGCAGTTCCCTTTTCGGACTTTCACAAGGGCCGGTGCCGGAAGATGTCTGCTGCTGTGCATGGGAAGCAACTTTCCGTGTGCTCCTCTCTGGTCTCGCCTTTGTCTCTCTGGCCATTCAGTGGCTTAGTAGCTGAGTGGATACACTTTACACTTTTTGGGGTAATGATACACACTATAAATCTGAAAGTGTACACTTTTAGGGGCTTCTGAACTCAGCAACTGAGGTGGGATGCTCTATCTTCGATGTGTGCGGAGCAACCGTCCTTAAGAGAAGCTCAGGAGTCGGAGGCTCGAGGCTGTCCACTTCTGGGCTGTGGGGATGCTTAGTAGCTGAGTGGATACACTTTACACTTTTTGGGATAACATTACCCACTGTAAAACTAAAAGTCTACACTTTCTGCGGCTTCTGAACTCAGCAACTAAGAGGTTAAAATCACCAAACCACCTTATACATGTGCCTGAAGATGCCCTCATCCCGAAAAAGGCCCAATACTAAGGATGTGGCCCGAGAGGCCTTGCTAGCTGCGCATGAGGCAGACGGAGGTGAGGCCTGCCTCCTCCGACTGCGGGCTTGTCACTGCATTCAGAGGGCCGGCATTCATACGAATCTAGCTGGCTCTTTTGGGATATCTTTTCCAGGTTTCAGTTTACCTATTGAAGATATAGATGTATTTACTCATGGCTGTTTTGTGAGATCTTTCCACACTTCAGTGTGTCTTTATTTGTTATTATTCATAAGCACAACAGTTGATTTATGACTATCATTCCTGGCGCCGTGAAATCGTAGCCCAGGAATCTTTGCTACAGTTTGGGGCCAATCTTCTGCTCTACCGGCCTCGATGGGGCCCCGCATGCCTTGCTGCAGCGCACCAGCGTGGTCCTTTGCGCCGTCATCGCGCCGCCCGTGTGGCTCTGCCTCTATCTGCTCTTCGTGGTCTTGAAGCCTGATGAAGATGAGTTGAAAGCTCAGGTTCAAGCCGAGATTCAGAGGGTGTCACGCTGCATGCAAACATCGGGGGATGGATGCACTCCGAAATGCTCATCACGAGCATGCATACTCTTTGAGATCGCATACCTTCTGATCGACATGATGCTCGATGCTAGCTGCTTAGCCACGCTGATTCAAAGCAACCAGTATATCCTGGCATGCTGCCAGGCTGCCGTACTCTCTCTAAGTCTACTGCAGCAGCTGCGGGTTGGAATTGTTGCAGTTGCCTCCTCTGTCAGGGAGTCGCTAAGACTGGGATATTGCACCGACGTTCTGCTCCGGATCGTGCAGTCGGAGAGGCTGATGGAGAGTTTTATGTCAATGCTCATACAAGGTACAGCGCTGACTTCATTGAGCAGCGGCGCCGCTACCCAGTTCAACATCAGCATCTTCATGAGTCTCTATGGGATAGTAAGGGCCGTTTACCGGGAAGTGCACCTCGACCTTGGCGGTCTTGACCGGGAAACAGGATCCTCGTGTTGCCGAGACTGTTTGAGTCGAAAGAGCGCTGTTTCGCAGTTTCGGGCGGACCGGCAGCGAGAAGGTTCGACGAAGCCAGCAGCAGCCCTTGCGCCGTCGCTGTGGCGCAGCTTGTATGGGAGAGCCCGGTGATGCAGCGAATCCTCCGACAGATGCAATACAGGGGCCCGGAAAATTACAAGAATAGTGATACACAGGGCTTCTGGCTATATATCTCATAATACTTATGTCATACAAGCCTACGAATGATATTGATTATTCGGGGAACGCATGCGGTTTAGGGCTTAGGCAAAGGGGGCCTCCGGGCAGTACTTTTGTGGAGACTTTGTGCCGTCAGTTCCCCGAAAATCAACAAACTTGCCCCAGTTCACGGAAGGCCTTCGCAGCAACGGTCACAATAATCATAAGGAGGGAGGGGCATGAACATCTTGAAGGATAGGTGGGATCCTTATGCCAGAGCTTAGTTTTTGTGCATTTGGCAGACTGATCTATACAGCTACGTGAGTCATGCAAATGCAATCCAGGCAAAGCCTAGCAATAATAGCAATCACGATGCCCAACCTTGACGGTACCTTGTACTGTATATCGACGGAAGGTTCGGACAGAGATTTCGATGTTTGATTGTGGGGTTCTTTGGAGTGGGATTGTGAAGATGCGGTTAAAACTGCAGGAAACACCTGGCATTCCTGAAGGTTACACAGCTCCTAAAGAAGGACAAGGCCGTACATTTGAGACCCTGGCTCCTAAACACACCAAGCTGACACCCCACCCCCTCAAAAAATAACAACAACCCAAAACACTTTGTTCCCTGAGCCCTAAACCCCCAACCCTAAGCTACCCTAAACCCCAAACCTCAAAACAAAAAGCCCAAAACACGTTGTTCCCTGAGCCCTAAACCCCTAGAGACCCCAACCTTCAACCGAACCCCCCCCCCCCCCCCAGGTCTGATCCTGAGAGGATCGGAGGCCTCACAAGGTGGGATGAAGGTAGGTGGGAATAAGGATTCCTTATATAAGGACTCTTACTTGGGAATATCCCACCTACCTTCATCAAACCTTTTGAGGCCCCCGAGAGGATCTTGGGGCACTCCGTTGAACAGTTTCGAGGTTTTGGTTAAGGGTTCCCAGGGAGCCCAATACCCCTTAGTTGAGGAATGTATGCCTTCAACATAGTATGATGGTTCCCAGAGAGCCCAATGCCCCTTAATTGAGGGGTATATAGGCCTTAAAGTTGTTAAAACATAGTATGAAGGCCCCCTTAATTGAAGGTATATTTCCTTTTTCAGGAGTATTGGGCTTTCCTGGTTCAGAGCACGGGTTTCGTGGCTGAAAGATTCTAGAGGGTTGGCAGGTTTTGGGCTTCTTCAAGATTCCCGAAAATACCCTACAAGTATATATATATATATACATATGTATTTATTTATTTATGTATTTATTTATGTATTTATGTGTGTATATATATATATATATATATATAGATATATTGGGGTTTAGGGTTAAGGATTTCGGCTCTCTGGCTTCAGGAGCTCAGGGTTTCGGGGATTGGTGTTGTGCATGGTCTGCGTTCTCGTTCAAACATCCTTGGGCATAACGAAAACTTGTCAGGGCAAAAGGGCGGTGGGTTCAATGCTGAGGGCAACCTGGGTCTGCGCAAATTCAGACGCTCTGAGCCCGAAACTTTAAACCCCAAAACAAGCCCTAAACCCTAGGTCATCATGCCGTCGCCGATGGAGGAGAAGATGAAAGCCATGTCTCAGCCTAAGGATCCGTGCGGCGAGTTCTTGGCAGAAAAACAGAAGACTACTGTCTAGTCTCATTATGCGCAATATAGTACATTACAGTATGAAAAGTACTAGAATATGTCATAATAGTATTGCGTGTTGGCAGTCGGTGGTCTTGCCGTTTCGGGTTCAGGGCCTAGAGAAGCAAGTCTGGGTAAGTAAGCAAGCAAGCATGTAAGTGAGGAATTAAAAAAGTAACACCAGCAGCACCAGCAGCAGCGGTCGCAGTACCACTGCCTCTCCATTCTGTCAAAGATTTCAGCTTGAGGCCTATGAGGTCAAGGGTGCATCCCTCTGCGGCTGTTCACAACCATTGATCGACGAACGACAACACCCTAAACCCTAAACACGAAATATTCTCAGGCTGGCGCAAAATGCCCGTGGCGGGAAGTCTGATGAGGCACTCCTGCTAGGTTTAGGGTTTAGGGGCCCAGCTGCCCCAAAATCACTAATTTAGGAACATGCTTTAGATCATAATTAGTAGGAGCCGTACTATGTTTCAAAGTACATTCCTTAGACTATAGTAGGTCAGGGTCCCTAATGTAGTGTAAGGAGCATTCCTTATCTGGGAGAAAGTGGAAGGTCCGGTGGCTCAGGGTTTAGGGGCTCGGCATTCACACTCTCATGGCGGGTTGTTCAACAGGGCTTCGAAGGTTTAGGGTTTAGAGTTCGGAGATGACGGTCTAGGGTGTATAGTTATTCGTCGCTGTTGTCGTCGTAGCACCGCGAGGAATTGAAAAGCACTAGTCGTGATCGCTGCAGTCGTCGTCGTGGTCGAAGTTGTCCTCCTGCTACTCCTTCTCGTCGTCGTCCTCGCCAAAGTCGACATCGTCGCCATGTTCGTCATCGTCATCGTCGTGGTAGTCGTACTTTCAGTGAGAGAGTTGCAGTAGTAGGTTTGTAGTCAGACAAGTTTTTTTAGTGGTCATGGTTGCTTTGGTGATGGTGGTGGCGGTGGTCGTAATAATGATTGCATACATTTGCGGCAGAAATGGTAGTGCTGGGTTCCCGAGTGCCTCCCCCGTCAAGAAACGTTCGCACATTTCTGCACTACAAAGGCCAGAACAGTGTGGGAAGGATATCAAATATTCGGAGGCTTAAGCAACGATTCATGCGCTTTTTGTAGACCTAGTATCTAAACCACTCGACTTGAATTCCGAGTGAGCGTTGATTTCCAAACTAAACTTTCACGCTTACGGAAGTACATGTGTACGTGCGGTACACACACACACGCATATATACACAGAGCTTTACATGTACACGTATGTATGGTGTGTTTGCTTGTTTGTAGGTGTGCTTATTGCTCCATTTGATTGGTTGTTTGGTTACTTGTGCGTTGGTTTCAAGCTGAATATGTGTGAGGGTTGTTTCTGCATGCTTGCTTGCATACTTGCTTGTTTGTTTGTTTGTTTGCTTGCTTGCTTGCTAGCTTTTTCGTTCGTCTGTTTGTGCCTTTGTGTGCTTGTTTGCTTGCTCGTTTGCGTGGTTGCTTGTTTTGTTGTTTGCGGTTGTGTTGTTTGTTTGGTTGGCTGGTTGTTTGTTCGTATGTCTGTTTGCTCGTTTGTACATGCATATCTTCTGTAAGTCAACAATCACATCTGTATCTGTTTATCGAATTATGTAGTGATGTGCTCATCGTTTCCTTAATGTAGTTGCATACGCATATGTCTTGTAGGACCTGCGGCTTAGGATCATACCGAGTGCCCAACACGAGTCGTAGACAAGATGATTGACAGGCGCCCGTCAAGGAGCGTGAATCCTGGCCGCAAGTTGTCGGTGGATGACTTTGTGTTTATTCCCATGTGCATGTGCCCTGCAGGGCGTTGAGCATTCAGTACGCAGATCTTCCTGTACCCCCTAATGTGCTGTAATGGCCCGTAAGTTGTTCCGATGAACACTACAGTAATTAAGCCCAAACCTTGCGGTGCAGTACAACTTTAGGTTTAAATCTGCGAACACCCCACTGCTGGATGATCCTCTCGTCAGGCGGGTAAGGCGTGCTCTCACACAGCGTAAAGACCTAAGAGACGCAAGGAAGAGCTTCGCCCCTGCCACTCTAGTTTTTTGGTTCATATTTAGGATCCTATAATGTAACCCCCCAAACGGAACTACAATGGAGGCCTATGGGTAGTCCATAAAGCCCGAACGCGAACCCTGAACCCCATAATAAGCCCAAAACTCTCACAAATCCTAAATTTCAGTATCAGGCCTTGGCTGTGGCAGAGAACCCGCAAGCAGGACAAGGCTTCGGGTGGTCAGGGTTCAAGGTTTAGGGCTTCGGGATTAAGGTTCAGGGTTAAGGGTTCAAGGTTAAAGCTTTAGGTGTTCCAGTTTGCAGAATTGTGTTTTGTATAGTGCTGCGTGCGATTATGGGTTTATGGAATTCTATACTGCTTACAAGTGTTTCTTTGTAATTTAGGCTTTGTTGTGTGTTTGATGTCGGTAGTTTCCAACCTGGCTTATGCAGCAGGGTCAGGCTTTCGTAGTATAGACCGTTTGAAATCATAAATCTGCATTATGTTAGCCAAAGAGAAGCGATGCCGGCAGCAACGAAACCTAGGAGGTTTCCCGGCTGCAGGGCTTCAAGGCATGATGTTGATCGGAAATTCCGCCTGGTAGCATGTTCCTGTCTCTGAGGTACTCGTAGACTTTTCAAAATAACGGCACCGGTAAGCCCGAATGGTCCAAGTACCGAATAGTCGTATACTCTCCCAATTTCGAGCTACTATCCTGAACCCAAGTACCTTGTTTCTGGGTGCTTTGGGCCCTTGGGGAAAGTCAGCTGTTGAAGTTGTTAATCTTTGGCTTTCCTGAAAGCTGCGGGCCCTAGCAATAGAATAGGCCTGAAACCCTGATTAGTTCGTCTTACTTTCAACTACCAAACCCTACTTTTTGCGGGGTCTCTATAAACTCCACGTTAGGGTTTAGAAATGAAAGCCTTCAATAATGTAGGTTATGGTGGTTTGAGGTAGATGAGTATTCCGGTAGGCTTGTTCTTCAGATTTTAAGCATTGGGGTCAGATTTCGAAACCAGGTGTCTTCATACCTCAAATCTGACATTCCAAAGGAGGCTTGCTGCTTTTCAACTATCTCATTAACCTCAACTTACCTACCTCCTTTGAGTTCCTTTTCATGATTTCTTCATGTAGTTGCTCAAAAGGGTACAGGATTCTAGGGTCCGGCTTAGCATGTCCACTACTTCCACACTTGTCGCAGCAGTAGCAGTAGCAGTAGGAGTAGTAGTAGTAGTAGTAGTAGTAGTAGTAGTAGTAGTAGCAGTAGTAGTAGTAGTAGTAGCAGCAGTAGTAGTAGTACATACGACGACTACTACTACCACCACGACTACTACTAC